GAAATAAAAATTCTGATTAACATCTCTACACAATAACCAAAACCTATCAACGTGTGAAAGATAACTACTAAGTAAATACTAGTAATGAATGCTATAAATAAAACTATGAAATCGTAGGCGTCTACTCGCGTCTTCTACGGGACGGGCTCGGGAACCAAATCCTCGTGATCTGAAATGGTTAAATAAGGAATGAGCTACACTAGCCCAGTAAAGACATCACACTATCTCATTGTCACAGAAGTAAAGGTTGGTAGAAAATAAAAACAACCAATGGAGCATAATTCATGATAAATTCATTTATCAATAATAAAACCCTTTACTGTCCACTTACCTCGGTGAGTTTCATGAAAACAACATAAGAAAACAATAACATTATAATATCATAAAATCATACACGCTTTATAACATAACACATATCATACATTTACATTTCAATTATTAGACAACAGATTTTTCTCTTTTATCAGCCTAATAGTATCCATGGGGATCCATAGGGATCCCAGCTATACATGAACCATTCACATTGATAACTTGATTTAGGGCCGTCCCCATACCCCGTTCTGTATGGGCGCCAAAATACATAAGGTCTCCATACCCTGTCCGATATGAGAGACCACGTTCCCGGTAGGGTTCCTTACAGACCCGATCCATCCACCATCTCCCAGGATATCTAGTTAGGTTGTCGACATCATCCATTTATCAATTCACATACCTTTTTCATTTTTTTCGGTCTCAATTTTCCAATCAAATATAAACACGTAAATCAGTAATGAACACCAACCAAGACAACAACAGGTTCCCAATAATTCAAACCATAATAAATAAAACCGTGATTCATACATACAAAACCATAAAATAAATACATTAGATACCATGCTACATTTTAAACTGTGAAATAGATCAAACAACAATTGATCGAAAAATACATCAGATTCGGGCTCCATTAGCAACCTTAATTAATTATACACGTGTATTAATTCATGAAATGTCGTTTTATTATTTATTGAGCTTTAATACCATGATAGGAAATAGGGTGAGAAATCCTTACTTGTTTCGGGGTCTGAAATCGGGTTCTCACTGCGCCTACGAGCTGTCCCTAAATTCCTTGAATTTTTTTCGGAAAACTGAAACACACTTCCGGTACCTGCATGTGTCCCAAAAAATCCCAAATCAGACCCAGGGCCCTTTTTGGCCAATATCAGAATTCCAGCACGGCAGCTCCGCCGTGCTCCGGCGACAGCACCGCCGTCTGCGATGGTGATCTGCCTCAGATTTTCCTTTTTCAGCCGAATTCGGCCAAACTTGCATTGGTTCCTGCGATAAAACAATCCTAGGGCCCTCGGTGGGCAAAAAAATCACGAAAAACCGAGACTTACCGACGTCAGAGCTCTCGGGTGCGGTGGCTTCTTCGGCGCGAGTCGCGATTTGATGTTCTCCTCTGGTCAACCTGTAGAGAAAAGGACGGTGATCACAGTGGTGTAAAAATTGCATCGATGGTGTAAAAATTGCATCGAACGGGAACCGAAAAAGGCCTCATCGGAGGCAAAATTTAAGGGAAGTCGCGGCGGCGCCGCTGGGCTTCGCGATGTTTTTCGGCGATTGCCCGTGGTTTGGCTCCGATTTGGCCATAGCGGATTCAGTATCGAAAAACGAGTCAAGGGGAGAAAATTTACCTCGTTTGACGGTCAAAAAATCCTTCGGTGTGGCGGCGGGTGGCGGCGGCCGGCTCCTCTGGTGACTGGTTCTTCTTCTCCGGCGAGGGTACTGGCGGCTAGGGTTTGGGGTTGGGTGTGGGTGAGGTTATTTATAACCTTCTCATTTTAATCTCAATAGTCTATCACGATTTAATCTGTACCGTCCGATCGCAATTAAAATGAGAATAAATATGGGCCGTCCATCGCGATGCGATTTGGGTTGTTCGTGCGTGATTCAATCTAGACCGTTCGATCGCGTGCATGCGGATCGCCCACGTGGTTTCGTCCCGCGTGGCCTCCCGCGTCAGCGTCCTTGCCACGCGACGTGTTCTGGTTGGCCGGGGCTGCTGACTGGGTTGCTGACGCGGCTGCTAACGTGACACAACTTTTTTAAATTGGATTTTGACCCCCCGATTTTCGATTTTCTTTTCAAAAACACTTCCAGAATCTAAATTTTCACCTATTTTTTTCAAAATCAATTTCAATTAAATCCGAAAAATAATTTTACCCTATTTTATTATTATTATTATTTTTATTTCTATTAAATTAAATTAAATTAAATTAAAACCTTATAAATTTAATATTAAAATAGAATAAAATTAAATAAAATTTTTAATAAAAATTAAAATAAATTAAATAATAAAAATACAAATTTTTGGGTGTTACAGAGAGCAAATTCGAGAAGAGAGTGCAAGTGAAGACAAGTGTGAGTGTGAGAAGAAAAAAGTCTCGAGAGGGCGAAAGTCGAGTGTTTGAAGTGAGGGTGTTAGGGTTCACAGGAAGGCGAACAGAGAAAAAAATTGAGGAAGGAGGTCCATTTCTGCAATTACTCTAGCCAATTCGAGTTCAAGAGGGTATAGCTCTTCCCCTTGTAATTAGATGTGAATCTCCTTAAACAGTTCAACTAGAAGTGATTTACTCAGGCTAAATGTGATGAAAGCTGAAATGAGGGATGATTTGCAATGATAATTATACTTTAGATATGCTGGGAAATAAATTGATAGGAATGATAATGGAGTTGAATGATACTATGCTTGGATTGAAATATTTTTGAATGACGGTAGTAGAGACACATGAACATCATTGAGCTCAATTTCTCCAGTGAACATTTGATGTGTGTGTATCGTGTTAGATTTAAGTCTACCCTTTTAATATGTTATTCATGTTTTATTCAAGATCTTCTGTCTCATGTAAGACATTGAATCAATTTTGTGGAAGTAAAATGTATCTTGGACTTTGTTTGTCGGTTTCCGGACTAATATTTCATGGTAAAACTGGAAAGATATTTGAGGTGAAACAGAGTCTGAAAGATTGGAAACCCACTTCAGTGAATGCTTTATATAGTTGCCGTAATAGATTATTTACATAGTCCATTTCTTATTTTCTTATAAGTATTGCCAATTATTTACATAGTCCCTTTGTAAAAGCAGAAAGGGAATGACTTTTGGATCTGAAAAGGGAACTTGTTATCAATCTTAACAAAGCTTGATTACGTTTACTTTAAGCTAACTTGAGTTTGAGTTCAAGTTGTGGATCAATGGACTTGGTTTTTTGCCTAAAAGTTCTTGAATCAAGCTTGAGATTTTTAAATCTTTACATGAGCGAAGTTGAGTAGAAAGTGAAATTTGATTAAAGCCTGGAACTGATTTTTGGCTTGGCATATTTCTACTGTCTGTGTCAGATACCCATGTCGTAGATATACTGTCCAGCTTTGCTTGGATAATTGATACCCCTTTTGACTGGCTCACTATTAAGGGAAGTTGCTATGACTCAAACTAGATATTTTGTGGCAGGTGGGAACTCTTATGCTGATGCACAAGAACTTTGGCCATTCTGATCGTTTGTTCCCACTCTTTAATTTAACAAAATAAACTTCTTTGCCATGGAGAAAGAGACCTGTTGCAATAATGATCTAAGAAAAAGCTTTTGAGAATCCTTCAATTAATATATTCTTTATAATTTATTACTTTCCATCTTTATTTGCTTCGGATAAAACAAACTGTTTGTTGTAGAGAAGAGGGGGTTCGTTGTGCAAAATTTGTAAACTCCTGCAGAAGTTTGTTTTTCATTTCCAATTTTTTAATAAGAGTTGCTTTCTATGATATTATGGGAATTGAGTCTTGCTGGTGAAGTTTCCTTCTTTCTTTTCTTGATTGGAGGCAAACTCTTTCAATATATTTTTGTTAAATCAAGCTGACAGGATTATTATTTTGCAGTATTTCAGTTGTCTCAGCTGTAACCATATCTACTTCATATCTTCCTTCTACAACAGATTCTCTTGCTAAGGCTTTAGAGACAACAAATTTATCAGAGGCCATTTCCATGCTTTACCGTGTACTTGAGGATCCTTCATCAACTTCAGAAGCTCTGCGCATTAAGGAACAGGCTATCACAAATCTTTCTGACCTTCTCTGGCAAGAGAACAGAGCTGAGGATCTTCGTTGTCTTCTTACTCAGTTAAGACCTTTCTTTTCTCTGATTCCCAAGGCTAAAACTGCCAAGATTGTCAGAGGAATTATTGATGCTGTTGCCAAAATACCTGGAATGTCTGATCTTCAAATTGCTCTTTGCAAGGAAATGGTCCAGTGGACAAGAGCTGAGAAGGGTACTTTCCTAAGGCAGAGAGTTGAGGCAAGACTTGCAGCTCTTTTGATGGAAAACAAGGAGTATTCAGAAGCTCTGACCCTTCTAACTGGTTTGGTGAAAGAGGTGAGGAGATTTGATGACAAACTGCTACTTGTGGACATAGATTTACTAGAGAGTAAGCTGCACTTTTCATTGAGAAATCTTCCCAAGGCAAAAGCTGCACTGACAGCTGCAAGGACGGCTGCAAATGCTATTTATGTACCTCCAGCTCAACAAGGCACCGTAGATTTGCAAAGTGGATTTCTTCATGCTGAAGAAAGAGACTACAAAACTGCCTATAGTTATTTCTTTGAAGCATTTGAGTCTTTCAATGCTCTTGAAGATCCAAGGGCAGTGTTCAGTCTGAAATACATGCTGCTGTGCAAAATTATGGTCAGCCAAGCTGATGATGTAGCTGGGATAATATCTTCAAAGGCAGGACTGCAGTATGTGGGGCCAGAATTGGATGCCATGAAAGCGGTTGCTGATGCTCATTCTAAGAGGTCCTTGAAGTTGTTTGAAACTGCTCTGTGCGATTACAAGGCCCAACTGGAGGAAGACCCAATTGTACACAGGCACCTGTCATCCCTCTACGACACCCTTCTGGAACAAAATCTATGTAGGTTGATAGAGCCTTTCTCAAGGGTCGAGATTGCTCACATCGCAGAGCTGATAGAGTTGCCAATTGAACACGTGGAGAAAAAGTTATCTCAGATGATTCTGGACAAGAAATTTGCAGGTACCTTAGATCAGGGTGTTGGATGCCTTATCATATTTGAAGATCCAAAGGCTGATGGCATCTACTCTGCCACATTAGAGACCATTGCGAACATGGGGAAGGTGGTGGACAGCCTCTATGTCAGGTCTGCCAAGATCATGGCATAACTGCTGCTACTTTTTTCGGGCATTGGTTGTTAGCAGTTTAATTCTTATTCATGCATCCTTTCTATTTTTCCGGTTATGACACAACAAAGACTTGTTGCAGTTATGTAGCATTTGGAACCACCTTTTACATTTTATTATGGAAAATGTTCCTTAATTTTGGTTCTGCTCGTTCATCCTTTAGAAATAGTAGCTCCCTCCACTGTACAGGAGATGACTTTTATGTATATGCACATATGATATATATATATTTACATAGTAGCTTATTTACTTTTAAAAAATATTTAACCTTCAAAATTAAATTGAATAAGTGGAGTTCTATTCTCATATTGATGCCATTTGTAATTTTCAAATAAATTCTCCAAAATATTTTATCTGTCCAAAGCATAGCCTTAAATGTGTAATAAACAAAAGAATCAACCCATTTACAAAAATTATCATAAGCTAAAACAGAATGAACATCTTTGCTTGTAAGCTGCTAAAAAGCATTCACAAAGTTTCTGCTCTGGCATTCACTCTTCTTCTAAGTTGCTTTTTCTTCAAGGTACATTCATATTCGTAAGTGTAAAAATACAAATCCCTATTAGGAATTTCAAACGTTTGGCGTGGTCATAATAATAATAATACTGAAATTTTCATTTAGTAGAAGAATTAAAGGTTCGAAAATTACATTTTTTACATGTTTATTTAAAATGTCCAAATAGGAGCTAAAGGAATGTTTCGAAACTTAAAACAAAAAAACCACTAAAAAGTAATTATTATTAACCTCGATTCAAAATTGACGGAGGTGCATAATTCAAAAATACAAGAAAACTAAATTCATGCTTTGAAATTTATTAAGAGATAAAACCGTAAGTAAAAGTGAAATAAAATACCATAATAGAATATAGACATCATACGTTGTGATAATATGTATAATAAAATGAAACGATAAATTTATGTGGAATCCAGTAAAACGAATTTTGACAATGAAGCAAAATGAAATAAAATCCAATGATCCAAGAAATATAATTAATACATCGGTTCTAAATTGATATAATGGAAGAAAAATGGAACGAGTTAGATCAACTAAAAAGAAATAAGCTAAGATAAAATAAGGTAAAGTAAAATAAAAAGAAGTAAAGATAAGCAATAAAAGAAAATAAATAAAAATTAACGAGCAAACAACACAATAAGCTAGTGACAAATTCAAACAAATCGATTACTGGCCCCATCGACAATCCATATTTGATTATCAAGGGTTCATTAAAACTGTTTAGGATTTCTTATTTTATCGATTAAACTTTTATTTTACCATAATAGGAAAAAGGTTGAGAGACTCTTACGGGGTCAGAGTCCAGAACACCACCTTTTTCAACTACAGTTGGTGGCAGTCCTCGAATCTCGGAATGCTTGGGTTTTTCAGTAAACTTTTGAGACACATATCAAAACGACGTGAAAATATATAAGGAATGATGAACAAGGGCAGAAAAAAAAACTCATCGGGGTCAGGTTGGGGTTTTGGTGCGGTGGCGCCTCTGAGCTTCGCTGCCTGGTTGTCCTTCTCTGATGTTTCTTCCTCTCGATCAAACTGGTTTGGCAAGTTCCTGAAACCGTGGAAGGGGGAGTGTTTGACGAAGAAAGGAGGAAAATTTCAGCTTTACCAGTGCCGGTTCGATCTACGGCACGACGACACAGTCAAGCTCCGCCATCTCTCTCTCTGGGGTCACAATCTTTCTTAGTTATTTTGCATCAAGAATGGTTTAAATAGCTTAGGATGGGAAAAACAAGAAAAACAGAAAGAAAATTCATGCTTATCGGCATGTTTTGGGTCTCCGGCACTGTGGCGTCGTTGTCCCTTCTGCAGCTGAGCTTCTCCTCCAGCTGCCTTTATTCTTTTTCTCTGGTCAGGTTGTCGGTTGGGTTTGGGAGCCGACTGAAGAGAGGTTTAAATACCTCTCTTCAATTGATTTGGGTCATTTATCCCGGGAGGCATAGAGGCACATGGACTGTCTGATCGCGTTTGTTTAGGGAATTTATTTGGGTCGTTCGATCTGGGAGACTTGGAAGCACATGGACCGTCCGATCGAGCCTATTTAAGAAGTTGATCTAAGTCGTTCGCACGCACAGGAGTGGCCCCGAGCTGTTCGATTGGCCTAACACGCAGATTGCCAGTGTGGGCTTCCTGCTGGAGCCCGTGTTGACGTGGCCACCACGCAGCTTGTGGCAATTCGTTACGCTGCTGACTCGGTATCCATGTGACATCCCAAATTTTAATTAAGACTTAAGGGTGCTAGGGACAGAAATAGATTACGAGTGCATGATAGATACTTATATGTAGAAGAGCAAATTATTACAAATTCCTTACCATAATATGAGTTTCAATTACATATATATATATATATATATATATATAACTGAGATCAGACGTGACAATAAAATACAAAATATTAAAATACAAAAAGATAACTTATTTCACTATGTGAATGGACTCATCAGAGTGTGGGACAAGTCATGCACTCAAGTTTTGTGGATCCACGGGATCCTCATAGACATCAAGAGGTAGGTCAGTGATCGGTTCCTCACTATCTTTCTCATCTGGGGGGGGGGGGAGAGGGGGTAGATGAGTTCTATATACTCAGTAAGGAAAACAATATTTAAATAACATCATAAGATTTTAAAAGTGAATTATTATGTCATCAACACTTACCATCAGGGGTCACGTCAAGGTCATTTTCTTAATTTATGAAAACATTTTATTACTTTATAAAAATATCATATCCATCATGTCATAGTCATAACAATCAAATCAATAAATGCCGATAATAGAAATAATTGAATAAATCATGAAATGCTTTGATTTTTGTGTTATGTTTTACGAAGTTATTCTGACTTCCATCTACAGATGGCAGATACAGATTTTTGACTATTCATGTGGAATGATCAGATTAGATATATAACAACAATTTGCCAACAATATATTTCTAGCTTGCCAAACCATGACATGATCTATGATCACGATTGTGCTAACCACAGTGGTCCTATCAGATAGTCTATACCCACACCAATACTTAAGCAAAGGTGACCCCTAATAGATAATTCGCATCACCACTCTCGTCAGAGGGTATGCCGTCATCCATAAGGAGCGATCCTCTCATATTTTTCAGACCAGATGGGGGAGGGGGAAAACAAAAACACTTTAGAGATAAAAAAATCTAACGAAAC